GTGATGATGACCAAATTTTTTCCCAAAGGAAAGCACAAAAAAAGTTAGTCAGTCAGAAAAAGTTGTCAGAAAAAGATGCTTTTTTGGCTACTGTGTTTAAAATTGGGGTTGGGAGGACTAATTCCCCACTCCTCCACCTGTTCTTGTAAACACCTGTGTCTATGACCAGTCAAATTATGTGATTTGGAGATACAATATAGCACCTCTTTTACGTACGTGTCCTCAATTACAACTCCTATCTGCTTACGGTTACCTCACCAAGAAAGTTACTTCTAATCTTAATGTTGCACTGTCCGAGTGGTGCATGTATAGTTATATTTTGCCTCTAAACCCTTTTTGTAATCGGCTTTATACCACAAATGATATGTTAATCTGTAATTCTTGATAAGTGACAAGCTCCGGTAAACCTTAAGGAACCATTGAATAAGTCTCCCGATGAAAAACCAGACCATGATCAGAAGAATCACAAAATCAAACTTTATTGCATAGAGATACAGTACAGTACAAAGGTTGAAAAAACAAACAATACATAAATCAAACATGCGCGTACACAAGGAGTTTAATAAGGTAATGTTATTGGGTGACGTCTTACTGGCATATCATATGGGGCTATATGCTGATCAGAATATCAATAACTGGTATCAGTGGTATTGTCTGCAGTTGTCATTTTAGACCAGATAATGCAATATAAGTTCTTCGATACTTTGGAATGAGAAGGCGACTTGTAGATAACACAGTCACCATATCATCTATGTGACCCGACAAACAAGTAAGTATTTTTAGCTGGATTAAATCCACTGTGAAATACACGGCTAATCTCACTCATGTGTAAAATAGTATTGCCACAGAGCGTGATATATATTTGCACACTAATCCAATACGAGTGCATTAACAGTCTCCTGGATACGTTAACATTTAAAAGTAGGCAACTTCATTTAACAAGCAACATGCACAAGATATAGAAATGAAATCTAGCTTACGATAAACTGAAATCACAACAACCCACATATTATTTTAGAGAAGCATCACATCTACACAGATGATATATGTATAATGAGTACAGATAAAATCTGAACACTCAGTTTAATCAGGACAACTAAAATACATACATAATTTGTACTTAATATTGTACATAAATCAAAGGGACATACATGTTCCCATTACAAATGAACAGAATTGTACATAAAACAATTCACGTTAGCAATGAATCGAATGGTTTCAAAAATGTATGACCAAAACATCAAAAACTGGTAACGTTGTATTCAGTTGTTATAAAGCAAAAGATGTTGCAATATTGGTATGATAAAACTACGGTCGAGTAAATGCGACTTGTAGATGACACCTCCGCCATGGCATTTATGGCGCATTGCCTTGATCCAAAAATCGCCGTTAAACTTGTTGGTATTTAGCTGGATTAAAGCCATCACTATGATATAATTTCATATTTGATTAAAATAACATTGTTACTTCGCACGATAATAATTATATTTTACCCAATACTAGTGCATAGATACAAGCGCCTGAAAATGTCTTATTGTCTTACACGTAAAAAGTAAAACCCACCCTACTGAGGGTTATGAGAGACTAAAACCTATGTTAATGCATTTAAAATATTCAGTTCACAAAAAGCATCAGATGTATTAGCTCTTACAAAAATTCACAAAAGCAACATAGAGCTCTACACACACTGGACAATAGAACTATCACCCCCTAAATCAGAGTGATAAAATTAAGCAGATCTTGGGTAGTTAGAATGCCTGGTCTACTTATAATGTGACTAATGAGTATAAAACCGCTATACCATGGGATTGTATTGTTGGTCTTGTACATGTACAGCAAATGTTATTCATGTCTTCCTCCAATATGGCAAGATACAGGTAATTATCTAACGGTTATAGAGGCGGCGTGCTGAGATATTCTGGATGCGTTGTAATCTTTTGATCTTATCATCTGGACATCCATATTATACAGAATTGCAATAATCTAGCCTGTAAGTTACCAATGAGTGTATAACAGTAGCAGCAGATGATTGATTCAGATATTTCCTTATGGTGCCAATATTCCGAATGTTGAATAAACAAGACCTTGTGATGTTGGAGATCTTTTTGTCCATTGAAAGTGTAGAGTCAAAGTATATTTTTACATGGGGGGAGGGAAATGCCATACTAGCTCCAATTTTAAGTTGCAAGTTGTGAGCAAGGCCCTTGTTGTGGGGTTGAGTAATGACTAAAAATTCTATTTTTCCATCATTTATTTTCAATTTGTTTGAAATGAGCCAACCTCTGAGATCTGATATGCAATCAACAATGGTATTCACAGACAATGCTGGATCATGGATGTTACAAGATGTGTACAACTGAGTATCATCTGCATAAAAGTGGTAACCTATCTTATGATAAAGCAGAATTGCTCCAAGGGGTAATGTGTAAACACAAAACTTTAGAGGGCCAAGAACGTTCCCCTGAGGAACACCAAATAAAAGCTGTGAGAGTTCAGAAAGCACGCCATTTATATTAACTTGATGCATTCTCCCAACAGGATAGGATCTTAAAAGATTAAAGGCCTTATCTCTAACTCCTACACTCTGCTCTAGAAATGTCAATAAAATATTATTGGCTACTGTATCAAAGGCAGCAGACAAATCTAACAGTACCAATAACATACAGTAGCAGAATATTTGTTAACGCCACTTAACAAATCATTTTTAATTCTCAAAAGTGCAGATTCTGTGCTATGATTAAATTTGTAGGCCGACTGCATCCCTTCAACAAGATTGTTTGCTTCTTAATGCTTAAATAGTCTAACTGCTAAAACCCTCTCTACTACCTTAGATAAAAATGCCAAATTGGAAACCGGACGATAGTTTACCAAAGGATCTGTGTCAAGGTTGTCCTTTTTGAGTAGTGGGCGAATTATTGCAGATTTAAACTTTTTTGGAAAAACACCCACAGTGAAACATTTCTTGATGATTTCCACAATCAAATTTATTACAGCCGGAAGAATCTGAACTAATAATGATGATGGGATCGGGCCTAACATGCATGATGTCTTTCTGAAACTGTTTATTATCTTTGTTACTTCACAAGTGGCTGTTGGTTCAAACATAGTGATGAGTGACTGTGTTTCTTGTAAAAGTTCTGACAAAGGTGGATGCGATGACACAGTCACAGTCTTTTCTAATTCAGAAAGTTCAGCGTTGATATTACTGACTTTAGACACAAAAAAAGTCACTCATGTTATTTGCTAGATCTTTCACTGAATCTGTTTTGGGATACTTAGAGCAATTGTTTATTCCCAGAAAAGTGTTGACAGTTCTAAATAAAGCTTTGGTATCACCATTACATTCTTGTATCATGTCAGAATAATATGTTTCTTTAGCTTGACAGATTAATTTGTTTACATGGCAACATGCTTCTTTATAGATCTGATGATGGACAGTTAATTTACTACTTCGCCACTTCCTCTCCGCCTTCCTTCTATCTCGCTTTGCCTCCAGAATGTGATCATTCATCCAAGGTTGCAGATCTTTCTTAACAAATGTTTTAGTTTGACAGGTGCACGGTTGTCAAGTGCAGTTGTTAATGTCCTGTCATACAGAAGCACACATTCCTCAGGACCCACATTATCAAAACTTAAATCACCCAGCTGTGATGTCACATGTCGTTGTAATGCATTCACATCAATGCCCTTGATTTTTTCTGAACGAGACTTTCTCCTTACTGGGGTGCGGTCTGCCACATCTAAGGGTGGTGTTGATAACATGATGGTCAGAAAGTAAAAGCCCTACCTCACATGATGTTACAAGTGAATCACTTTCCCTAGCCAATACCATATCAAGCGTATGGCCACGAACATGGGTGGGATCTAACACGTATTGTTTAAGTCCAAATGAATCAATTAATGAAGCAAACTGCTTGGTTTCAGAAATGTGTTGATCATCCCAGTGTATATTCAAGTCGCTGACGATAAGAAGTTTCCCTCGAAGAGGTGCTAGGTACTCAAAGAGATCAGAAAACTCACTAAGGAATAAAACTTTTCGCAAATTATTGGTTTTAGATGGCGGTATTCTGTATACTGTAATGATATGCATTGTCACTGATATAGCTGTAACTAAAACCTCAATGTACTCAAAAGACAATGGATCAATCCTTTTTGGCTGTTGGGTTACTGTGAAACTGTCCTGTGAAAGAAAAGCAACTCCACCCCCTCTCTGAGACATGCGGAGTATATGAATACACTGGTAACGGTTGGGGTAATATCGGCTAGCATATGATGTTGAAGATCGGGTGTTATTCAGGTTTCCACTAAGGAGACTAAATCAATATTGTCATCCTTCACCAAGTCACGTATGATAGACCCCTTATTCCTCACTGATCTACAGTTCATAAGTGCCAACTTGATTGTGGGTGCCTGTACAGTTCTTTCAGTTATCACATACTTTAAGTTCAGAAAGTTTACACCACTTTGATAATCATCATTCCCATTTCTACTGGTTCTAGATGTTATTCTTCTACTTGATACATAGTTTATCCTTCTATTTCGTTCAACACCTCCTTTACTTCCTCTACAGTTTCTGATAATTTTGAACTTACAAAGCAATTTCTTGACATTGTCAGGTACATTGTTTACAATATATTTAGGCTCCGGTTGTAGAAGAAAAAGTTATTATGATGTGGCCTGCCCAGAGTCCGGATGCAAACATTATAGAAAATGTATGGAATGATATGCCAGAAATTTGACAAATGCCAGTCCAACCAGCAGACACACTCTGTTATATTCAGTGTTTCATGCTTGGGCCAGCATAAGCCCTGAACGCATCAGACAATTACATGAATCCTTGCCTCGTAGACTGGCAGCTTTTATAAGGTCACATGGCTATGCCACTAACTACTAATTTTGGACTTGAAACTGCATATCTTGGTAGAATGTATGTTTTGTTCTCATTTTTTTTTTTTTTTTTTTGGAAATTTTGATGTTAATGAAATGACACCAGGAGCATATCATTCCACAGTCTTTTATCTCCTACAAAATATTGATTCAGTAGAGGTGACACTTCTATTGTCCAGTGTGTGTAGGCTAAATGGTAATTATATGCAATGTATTGTTTATAATTTGTAAAAAAAACAGTAAAATATATGTTTGTAATAATACTGTCAAGCAGTGGCACGTTTTACACAAGTCAATAATTCAAATAATTCAACGCGATCAACGTAGAAGTAATAATTCAACACATATTAGAAGTAACACGCCGATAACTTGCCGACCCTCTGTCATATCAAAAACACAAGGTCAACTAACGACAGCCCTCCGTGCGTACGAAGCCGGAATCTCGTAGTTGCCATTCCATTCAAGGCGGTACAAGGCCATTCGCTCTTTGGAATTGGCGTTGTACCTTGTAAGGGGCAAACCCATATATCTCATGTCATCAGAGACGTAACATCTCATATTTATCTTCTTCATAGCAGATAATGTGAGACCATCTGTATACTCGAGAGAAGCACAAAACGTGCTGAACTCATCATCCGACTTGGCCAATATTTCTTTACTTAGGGTAAGATATTCATTCTTGACATGGTCTGTAAATTTAAATAAAACCATTTAATAAGTTTCAAGAGTCATAGTTTTATAATACACTTATAATTGATGCGCAAGAAAGATAAAAGATAAAACAAAATATATTTCAACTTTTTCTCAAATGGTTATTTTTATCAAAATGATCAAAAATAAAATAAAAAAACAAACATTTCTGACCAAGTCCATCCAAACAGAACCGAGATTGAGATGTCAGAATTACTAACCAAGACATGCGTTCAACTGATGGTCCTTCAGAGCCTTGAACAGGTTATGGACTGTCGCCCCTGCTGTCCTTTTCATCCACTCCCTCAGAATCTGGAATGATTCCTCCTGTGCATTGTTTGGATTCTGGCACCTTATGTTGTCTAGCTTAGCGTCCGGTACTCCCAGCCTACGTCCCAGGAACCGGATACGTCTCACAGACACTTGGTCACTTATTGTAGCAATTAATTTTTGGAGAAGATGAGTCTGAAATAATCAACATTGACCCATAACTCTTAGAGGTTGAATGAGTGTTATGACAACCAGAAAAAAATCGATTGTGCCAACCTAATTATCAGACATAATAGAAATTTGAATAACATATAGGTTTCTTCCTAATTTTAAGTGAGTAATAATTACGTCATTCGACAAAACTAACCTGAATCAACGGCGAAGAAAATCTCTGCAGCATTATCATTATGCATTCATGTTTCGTTTTTACAGCCAAGTCATGTGGTCTTAGTTTATCCTACAAATCAAGGAAGTTTACACTGTTTTGTCACAGTAATATATGTTTGTTTTTTAGATTTTTTTCAAACACGTTGCGACAAAAGAACTTGCCATATTTATATGCTTACATAAGTGATGCAGAAGTAATACTAACAAGAAAACAACAAGAAAAGAAAATCAATTAAAGGAGTTCTGCTATCCTGGTAACAATAAATGATCAGCATAATTATATCATATCATGTTGTATTTCTCTACATTTTATTCATATATTTTATGTACTAAAATTAACATCGAGATGAAATTTTAAAAAAGGTACACACATTACCAATTAATCCAAGAAATGGGAAATCCTACATATAGAGGTAATAATGTGTACTTGGTTTTTTGCATGTGATGTCCTGTCCTATGCTGTCTTTATTTACATTGCATTAAATTTATTAATTTACCCAAATAAGAATAAAGCGAAACAGCATTCATCAAAATAAAACGTTGAAGTATACCAAATGTGTTAAACCAACCAACTTACTCTAGTGCATTTTTTGTATATAACATTTTGTAGCACAAACCTTATCCGTAATATTAGAATCAGCTCCACGCTCCAGGAGAAGCTTTACGATGCTTTTATGACCTCCATACGCTGCCCCATGTAAAGGAGTCCAGCCACCCTGGTAACAACAAATGATCAGCATAATGATATAATTTCATATCATATCATATCATGTCATCTCTCCTCACAATTTATTTGTTTATTTGATGTCTATAGCGCTGAAACAAAAATAACATCAGAGAGGTAAAATAAACTGGATATATGTCATAAAAAATGATTGAAAAAATAAGTATGCTAATTCGAATACTAGTTTTAACGCATCATCTCTTTATCAAAATGCAGATTATGTGGCAGTAATAAGAAATCAGGCTGAGGGTTACTATCGGTGTTTTGAATGTGGGTGGATTGTTTGTTTGTTTATTTGTTTGTTTGTCTATTTGTTTGCATCATTTTTTGGGGGTAACGAATGCTTTTTTATTGTTTTCTTTTTAAAGTCTTTTTATTATTTTTTTCTGATGTATTTAAATTTTTTATGACATCATTGTCTTTGTTTTTGAAAATCTTATCTCGTCTGTTCTGATATTTTTTGTCGCGTCTTATCTTATAGGTAATAGTATGCTTGCACTGAAGTTTGTTTCAGTGCATTATTGGGTTGATTCGATAAGCGGGTATACAAACAGTTCAGCTTAGACACGCAGTGGACACAGTGCATATTTGATAGCTCAAGTGCCCTTGTAATCAAATATGTCTATGTCTAAATGGTATACATATCATACAAGAAAATTTTGGGCAACTACTACTTACAATTCAGTTTGTCAACAGTGAAGTTTACTCGATTTGTGACTACCTTACAACTAACAATAGATTGTGTCAACAATGATGTACCTTATAACTTACAATAGCTCGCGTCAACAGTGAAGACTACATTTCTTTATTGGACAACTACGACTCACAATAGACATAGAGAGTGTCAACAGTGATGCTTACGCCTACTCTCATTTTGGATTTCTGACAACCTTATAACTTACAATAGCTTTTGATTGGACAAAGAGCGCGGTCAGCTTACAAACTGCTTCTTTAACAAAATGAATGGCGATATTTGTTTATTGACAAGGTAGTTTTATTTACAGAAGGATTTACAATCACATCTCCATCATCAGGATACATGCTACGTATTTAGACTGTGGGATATATTTTATAAATAGCAATATTCAGGAGGTAGAAGGGAAATTAATCAGCTTGTACAAGAGATTATTTACTATTTTTTTCTGAACTGGCATCTTGATTGGAATAGCATACTGGCGACGGAAAGATAACCACGGGTATTGCTCTCTGTTTTGATAGAAATGTAATTTTAAGCTCCTTGTACTGTACATGTGTACTGGATCATTCTCAATATGGTTATAAAGGCCACACTTTTTTATTTTTATAGATAACATCCTACGCGTGTACCGATTTTCGTCCTTTCTCAAAAAAAAAAAAATAAAATAATAATAATAACAATAAGAAATTAATAAATAAATAGAATAAAAAAAAAAAAATACCCCAACGAAGTAGGTTGTCGCAAACGTCGTTATTGAATTTGCCGGAAAATGAACTTTCTGCGCATGCGTTTTATCGCCACGTGGAAATATGGCCGTCAAATTCATCTCTAGGATTACTATCAAATTACACGACATAAGACTTCGTAGCCCTAAGCATTCGTAGCCCTAGTTACCCCCCAAAAAATGATGCAAACATACAAACAAACAAACAAACAAACAAACAATCCACCCACCGATAGTAACCCTCAGCCTGATTCCTTACTACTTGTGGCCTTTGCATGTTGTACATGTACAGGGGCGGATCCAATTATTATTATCAATTGATATATATATATATATATATATATATATATATATATATATATATATATATATATATATATATTATTATCAAATTATCTTTATTGATCCATCCTCCATTTTTGACCGTCTTCCAACAGAAAAAATTGGATACCCGTCCATGTAAACTTAAAAATCTGACCGTCTTCTAGAAGACCCAGAAGACGGCCTAAATCCGCCCCTGATGTATTACAATATGTGTCACAAGTATTGGTAGCCTACTATGTATGTCCCACATAGAAGATGTCTTCTAACTGGTCATTGACTTCAAAAACGGTCAAATGAAAGGAGTTAAATATCTTTCCGTGGTTTGAATACATCATAGTCAAACAAAGGAAAAGCACATAACTGCATTACCCAACTCGCTTACACAATACACCATGCATAAATAAAACCATTCAAGGGCGGATTTTATGGAAAATGCACTGGTTGGATTATCTGCAGCACTAAACTACAGAAACTGAATCGCCCATATCAATATTAATATTAATAGCTATACATATACGTATACATAAATATGGCACGAACGAAAATAAGCTCTTAAATCACATCCATGCGTCTTACCGAGTCTTCCGCATTAACTTCAGCCCCGCTGTCCAGGAATAGTTTCACCATATCTACATTGCCTTTCAGCGCTGCTAGGTGCAGAGGACTCCATCCATTCTGGTGAAATCAAAACAATAACATATCATTATTAGATTTATTTACTAGACTATAATCATATTATCTCACATTTTAGAAATCTTTGAAAAATTAAATATTTGTAACATGTGTATGATGTATGATTGTGGTTGTAGAGAAGTGTGTTCGTGACTTGTCGTTTGTGTCCGTGTGTCTTCCATTCTATATAAAACACGCCCCTCTTTGTTACGCGGCACATTCATTCTTGTTTCTGCCATGTTCACACACAGGTATGATAGACTTGATTGGTTTGCTTTTCATTTTCTTTGTGTTAAGATTTTGTATTTTTCTAAGTTATTTTGTTTGATAATTTCAGTGCTTATCATTTATTTTCATACTTATTTAGTTTAGAAATTTATTAAATATTTTTAGTTCATTAATGTTGTTCATTTAAAATTTTCCATGTTAGTTCAGTTCAGCATTAAGTTCATTTTATGTATTTGTAAATTATTAAAATGACACTCATTCTTGTTTCTGCCATGTTCACACACAGAGTAAACTCTGGTTCGTAAATGAAGTACAGTGATAGCTGTTACATATTATTCCGGCTCCAGACACTGTGGTCAGCGTATGGTCATCATCTGTAATTAACATTGTCTGACCAAAGGATCCTCTAGTAGTAGTTTACAGTATTTTTGTGCCGCCTCGGTGTTGAGTAAGGCGCACGCCCTCACAACTTCCAAACTTAATCAAAAGCAGTGCGGGAGTGCGTCACCCGCCTTCCACGCCCTCCAATGCACCTACAACTCAAAGGGAATGACCCTGAAATTCGTGCGCCAGGTTGTGACCGAGGCCTTGAAGGAAAGAATAAAACACAAAATGAAAGAATGAAAAGAAAAAAAGAAGAATGCTTTTTAAATTTGAGCCAGGAAGCTTGTTCCCGTTAAATGATCATTTGCGGGTCTTGTGCAAAGAAGGGACATTAATTAAGGTTTATAGAAGTAAAAATGTGGTTAGTTATAGAACCTCCTTATGTTTCATAAAATACCAGTGTATTTATTAAAGCATCCTTATGATAGATGTAGGGAAAAGGAGAAAGAGTACGCACCGCAGACTCCTTGTAGTTGACATCATATCTCCCATCCCACAGCAGTCGTCTCACCTCGGCAGTATCACCATTCAACACAGCCTGGTGGAGTAGATACATGGTCTGATGGAGTAGTAGAAAAGTGACTCTGTAAGAAGATTTTGTCAGAACGGGATTACTTTATCATATGCTTCACATTAATTTCAACTTCGGCAGGAAACATTTTTTTTTTTTTGTTACAAATGTATTAGTGTGCATGATGGATTCTAACCCAGATAGCATGCACACGTTGTCCAACGTTGCCCCAGCGTTGCCTTTGGTTTCAATCTAAGTACTCACTTTGACCAACGGTCGACTAAACGTTTTTGGCCAACGTTTGCCCAACGTTAATCAATTAAGAGGATTCTTGCCAGTCATATGAAACTGTCCACCTTATTCCTGGAGTTAAGGCATTTTTCCACTATCATAATATAAATTCATGATTATTTCAGTTAAAAAATGAATTGAATTGAATTTTAATTCAGAAATCCTTGTTGATATCAGTTAAGATGCCTTTCTAAAGAACCATAATTAGAAAGATATGCTCAGTCTATGAAATCACATAAAGTCTCTTCCTTCTGGTAAAATTTCAGACATAGTCTCTTAAATAAAAGTAGTGGTCATACATCATATGTCAAAGTGTTGCCCCACCCCCATTTCCATGTACTTTTATGTACAAATGATCACCTCGCTGCTTTAAATTGTTAGAAATAATGCGTTTTATTCCATATATCGTGTCTAACATGATTAATAGTTAAACAAATACAAAATGGTGGTGAGAATATACACATTTTATACCATTTAGTAAAATTTTGAAGAGGTACCCCCTCAAA